CGGGTTAGAGAGGGTGCCTGTCCACTAGAGACATTCCATCCCATCACCTTTTATGTTTCATAGAGGGTGGCAGTTGATTGGCGGGGAAGCTTTTCTTTTTGCTGCTTTATGTACTCTGGTGTAGTGCCACAGTATCAGCATAACTTACTTCTGTCAGCTACCATGTGATTTCAGATTAGTAATTTAGGGAGCAATAGCACTGGGCAGAATCATACAATGATGATATGCAAAAGAGACCCTCTATTGGAATGTGCTGGAAAGAGCTAAGTTTGCTAGTTTAGGAACTAGATAGCCATGCTCTGGCAGTGAAGCCAATGTTAGAAATGTTACAAAATTGTTATTTTGTTACATAATTGTTATGACTTTGTAATAAGTTGGATATAGCATATGTGGGAAAGGAAGTTATTGGTTTCAGATCTATATAACGGGGAAAATGTTGGATTCTATAATGTAATAAGAAAGGGAAGAGAATCAAACTAGTTTACTGAAAAATTAAGGAATTTGAGCCAGGCGCCTTTAGTTCCAGCACTCAGGAGGCAGAGCCAGGTGGATCTCTGTGAGTTCAAGGCCAGCCTGGGCTACAGAGCGAGATCCAGGACAGGCATCAAAACTACACAGAGAAACCCTGTCTCGAAAAACCAAAACCAAACCAAACCAAACCAAACCAAAACAAAACGGGGTGGGGGGAATTAAGGAATTTGGTATTTAAACATGGGAATTAGGGTGATAACTGGGTAATAGCAGCTATGGAGAATCAGCACATATAAATGATGCTTAAAGCTCAGTAATATGTTTTCATTGTAGAGCTCTTTTATTTCCTTGGTTAGGTTTATTCCAAGGTGGTTTTTGTTTGTTTGTTTGTTTTGGAGGAAGTTGTGACTAAGATTGTCTTTCTGGCTTCTTGCTCAGCATGTTTGTTATTGGTATATAGGAAGACTACGGATTTTTGTATGTTTGTGTTATTAATATATGCTGCTACTTCGCTGAAACTGTCAGATCTAAGTGTTTTCTGGTGGAATCTTGGGATTGTGGACTTTATGTATGTAACCAGATCATCTAAAAATATGGATACTTTGACTTCTTTTCATATTTTGATCTTTTTATTTCCCTTTCTTGTCTTATTACTCTGTAGACCTCAAAAAATGCAAATACCACATTCTTCTCATTTTTATGCATCTTAGATTTTTATAGAGCTGCACCAAGCCATGTATGTACAGCTGACATGAAAATATGGCTGGGATGGCATAGTGGTGCCCAGCTTTAATGCCAGCATGTGGGAGGCAGAGGCAGGCAGAGCTCTGTGATTGTGAGGCCAAGCCTGGTCTCCAAGCCAGCCAGGGCTACATAAAGAGACAACTGTTTCTAATAATAATATTATTATTATTATTATTATTATTATTATTAGTAGTAGTAGTAGTAGTAGTAGTAGTAGTGGTAGTAAAATAAAAGCAGCAAAACATAAAGGGAACTAATGGGAATGGCAAGGAGTAAAGGGGTAAGGGTAGCAAGGTGTGGGGGGAATATGCTCAAAGTACATTACATACTTGCATGAAAATGGCCTTATGTCACCCAGTATAATAAAATTGTGTTAAATGCTATAAAGATTCAAGGGGAAAACAGCATTTGAAGTGTTTGAGAGCCTGTCAGGCATGGCTGTAATCCCCACACATGAATTACCTCTCACAACCATTCTGGAGAGTCAGCGAGGTAATTCCAGATGGGGGGACTGATGGAGCACGGAGGATGCACACAACTTCTCTAAGGACACACAGTTATTAAGGCAACTGCAGGGCCAGTGCTCTTTACACATACTGCTATCCCTTCTTGGGATCAAAACACTACCCAATCTTCATTTTACCAAAGGCACCAAACAAAATATCCCTGATGATAAAGTGTTTTTAAAGGAGGAAATTGGTTTTAGTAGGGCAGCTGCTACCAATGTCAGAGAAACCTCTTCCATGGAATCTGACTTAGCACTTGATATTGTATATAAAAGATACTCCAGGACCTAGAAAGTTAGCTAATTTGCCCAAGGTCTTAAAGAATTAAGAACAAGCTCATGATCCTGGGACAGGCGTTCATGGCTGTTATTATAGTAATATTCTAATTATATATTTATTGTATAAACATGTAGAGTTTTTTGTTGTTTTTGTTTTTTGAGACAGGGTTTCTCTGTGTAGTTTTGGTGCCTGTCCTGGATCTCGTTCTGTAGACCAGGCTGGCCTTGAACTCAGAGATCTGCCTGCTTCTGTCTCCTGAGTGCCGGGATTAAAGGTGTGTGCCACTGCCACCCGGCTACATGTAGACTTTTTTAAATGCGTATTTCTTTCTAGCTGAATTAGCATGGAGATAGACTATGCTACTGCTCACATTACAAAAGGAGCAGTTTACTACACCTTCTATTTGTGCCCTTTGCTTCCTATTTCCCGATGCTCTTCCCACTAGACCAAGATTCCAACAAAAACCACATTAGGCTTTGTAATGTCAATAGTTTCCAATTCTTGGCTGCTTCCATATGGCAGTAGTCTTAAGACAGCACTGACAGTAAGACTTACAAGCTGGGACTTTTAAAATGGAACTGGTGCTGAGTCTTCAGGGAACAGTCATACTAAGACAAAAGGAAAAGAATAGTCTAGACATGTAAAGTGCTGGGGAAAAGACAGTCACTCACTAAAAATGAAAGAAATAAGGCACCAGGCAGGGCATGGTGGCGCACGCTTTAATCCCAGTACTCAGGAGGCAGAGGCAAATGGATCTCTGTGAGTTCGAAGCCAGCCTGGTCTACAGAGTGAGTTCCAGGACAGCCAGGGCTACACAGAGAAACCCTGTGTGTGTGTGTGTGGGGGGGGGGGGGGGGCGCGGGGAGAAAGAAAGAAAGAAAAAAAAAGAAATTCTAGCACAGTGGAATAGTGCCTGCTTAATTTGTCTAAAGCACTGGGTTTGATCCCTAGCACCACATATACAGGTCATGGTGGTGTACACCCGTAAACCCATCATTTAGGAGGTGGACAAGAAGACCAGAAATTCAAGGGTAAGGTCATCCTTAGCCATACAGTGAGTTCAAAGCCATCCTGAGCTATATGAAACCTAGTTTCTCTCCTCTCCCCACCATCTTCATGTGTGTATACATGTGTGTGTGTGTGTGTGTGTGTGTGTGTATTTATTCTATAGATTTATTGTATTTTATCTATGTCTATAAATTCAAACACACATAAAATTTAAGAAACTTGTATGGAGATTTGTGATGTGGCTCAGTGGTACAGTACTTGTTTGGTAAAGTCACACTACCACCATTTGCTGAATAAACTAATCTAGTAGGATTTTATTTTCCTAGCAAGAGTTCTTTCTCATCAAATGAAATTATACACCTTATACAACACTCTAAAACTGAGCTCCTCTGCTGCTGCCTTCCGTTGTCCTTCCTAGGCTCCCAATATAGCTCTGAAATTTTAGAATTTTTAAAACATTTTAGAAAAATCACTAGTTTAGGCAACTGGCTCTGTCTGGCTCCCATTTTAGGATTCCCCCCCCCAGCCCCCCGAGGCAGGGTTTCTCTGTGTAGTATTGGCGCCTGTCCTGGATCTCGCTCTGTAGACCAGGCTGGCCTTGAACTCACAGAGATCCACCTGCTTCTGCCTCCCCAGTGCTGGGATTAAAGGCATGTGCCACCACTGCCTGGCTTATTTCAGGATTATTATAATTCTCATTTACTGTGGGTCATTGTTAACTGAAGCTAAAGGTTTTGACTTAAAACTCATTGCTGTTTTGAATTTTATGAGGTCAGCATAATACTTTTCCCTATCTTGACGTCTTAAATGTTGTGGTAACCACCATTGTTGTGGTAAGGATTTTACATAGAATATTGAATTGAGGTAGTGAGCACTCCCATTTTATCAATGAAGTAACTGAACCTCAGAAAGGTTAAGTAACTTTCTCTGTAGCATACAGTCAGCAAGTGGCAGACCCAGAAGAAAGTTACAGCTAAAGTCCATGCTTTAACAGACCTTATGACAAGGCCTGAAGGTGAGGGCTAAGTGCTTTATAAAATGCACTTTCCTCACCACAACCTTCTAAGAATATACTCTTGTTTTCATAATGTAACAAATAAGGAAACTGAGGAACAAAAATTAATTTACATGTTTTATTTTTTTTTTTAACCACATCCCTTGATGGAACTGCAAATATTTATCAGCCTAACAAACATAGTTAGGAGCCTAATTCTTTTAACCTAACACACTCAAAAGTTAAGAATTATGTAATGCTTTAGATGAACTGTATATCTTTCATAAACTTAGAAATATTCAGAATTTTAAAAAATAAATACCCTGGCAAGGTGTAGTAGCACACACTTTTTCCTGGCATTCAGGAAGCTGACTGGCAGATCTCTAAGTTTGAAGACAGCCAGGGATACATAGAGAGACCCTGTCTCAAAAAACTGACTGACTAAATAAATAAATAGCAACTTAAAAGGTTTCTTCTTTTTTTATTATCTGCTTGAACTAATTTACTGTCAATTATAATATTAAAGATCCAAGCAATCACTATACAGAAATGCTGCTGTAGGTGTTTTAAACTTGGTAACTTAAGTATTTTTATTGTTGTTCTTTGAGTCAGGGTCTTATGTCTTGCTGGTCTGGAACTTGCTTTGTGGACTAGACTGACCGTGAACCCACAGATTCCTCTGCCTCTGCCTCCCAAGTGTTGGAACTAATGTTTTGTTTTTTTCTCAGAGACAGGGTTTCTCTGTGTAGCCCTAGCTGTCCTGGAACTCGCTCTGTAGACCAGACTAGCCTCAAACTCACAGAGATCCACCTGCCTCTGCCTCCTGCGTGCTGGGATCAAAGGTGTGCGCCACTACTGACTGGCTCCACAACTGTCTTTTTTCCTTTTTTTTGTTTTTTAATCTCAGTTTTAGAAAAAGCTGCTCTTCAAGTACAACTTCAGTACTTTACTCAATTTAAAAAATTTATTAACTTCACAAAGTAACCATTTCACTATAGGTTATGGCTATTGCACCAACCCATTACATTTGGCAACGAGAGCGCTCTGTGCATCACAGTGGAGCCGTGAGGAACTACAACCGAGATGAAGTTCACCTGCCCCGGGGTCCTAGTGCCACACCAGTCGACTGTTTACTGTGTGGTAAAAAAGGAAGATATATGAGATTGGGATTGTCTTCATCGTCATCTTCATCCAGTGACACAGTAGAGCTAACGGAAAAACATTCTCAGGAATCACACAATTCATTATCAATGGACATGATAGGTGAACCTTCTCAAGCTAATAGCTATTCTCAAGGTATGATATAATGGGAAAATAGAATTAAACTAATGCATGTTATTTATCTTTCAGGCAGAGATGCATACGTTACATTACTGAGTTAAATTAGTATTGGAAGTTTTCCCTCTTCCAGTTACCACTGTTTATTCTCTGTCTATACCTGTTTTGTGGTAGCCTATAAACATTAAAAGGATTTTAACATATCTTAAGCTGAAACTCAATACGCTGTGAGCTCCAAGTATTAGGGCTTGAAGGGTTTCTATGAAATGTATGTTTTATTTAAAAGTGATTTCAAGAAGAAAATAAATTTAATTGTAATCACCATCCAACTATTGGTTTCTTCTATATACTTTTCTAACAAAATCAGACCATATTTTAGCCAAGCTAGCTTTTTATTATTTAGTATAAATCATTTCCCTATGTCATTTAGTCTTATTGTGATGTGTTATAATATATTTGCATATTTTCATTTTTGTTGAGCTCTAAATGCTTACTTAGAAAAATGACATGTTAACTAGAAAATAATTATATTTACCAGAAATACAACTATATTATAACTTTCAAATTATTTTTATATGTAGCATTTCCCTGACATGTCATTTCTAGATTTGAAACAGTATTAGAAAAATACTCTGTAACAGGATCCTGTTTACTTCTTACAGATTTCTCTCATTTGAAAGACAGATTTCCTGTAGTCCCTTCTAACTATCACGAAAAAACAAAAACAGACCCACACAATTTCAGAATTTTTTTCGTTTATTTTTACCATGTCCTATGAGAAGGACAATGTCTACTGAAGCTTTACTTTACTAAAAGGAGAAACTAAACTCTAGTCCCTTGACAGCAGAGGTTGAACCTTGTTCCTGTTTCTTTCTTTGGACACAGTATTTACATAACAAATTTTACTGACAGTATAGTCTCTTTCTTCTCAACATCTCCAAGCACACTTTTTATTGTCATACTCATATTTGACAGTAAGTAGGGCTGATCATTAGCTCAATTATAAAGTAAGAATTGCCATTTATCACCCCTCTCCTGTCTCCCAGGCTTCTTTTATTTTTACATTCTTTGATCCTCAGAATAGGTAAGGTTTATTGGATACTTCAATGTCCCAGGCAATACAGAAAACCCCTTACATTCATAATGCACTTAATATTCACTACCACTGAAGGTTAAGTATCATTATCTCCACTTGACAAATAAAGAAACCGAGGCTTCTGTTAATTTGCCCAAGGTTGGTAGAGTAATATTGAAAACCCCAGTCTTGTGACTGGAACCTGAATTCCTACCTACTATGCTGTACAGGCCTTTGATGAAATCCTGCTTTTAGCAGTGAAAATAAGCTGTGGCAGAAGTCTTTAGGAAGACTGCTAAAGCAGTAGAAATATCAAGAACCAAGTTCCTTCTGAAAGGCTTGTAGAGTGAATTGGGAGCACATTCTAATAATTTGAACAGGTATCTACAGAAAGCAGAAGAGAAACCACCATGTTTTTTCTTTAGACCAATCCCTGTAGATCTCATTGGAGCATACTCTATACTCCAGGTCTTGACATCCCAGTAGGAAACTGGAGTGCATGCAGGAAGTAAGGCACTTTGCCAGTCACTGTACTGAAAAAGCTGCGGACAGGGGATGTGTCAGTGGGTAAAGGCTGGTAACTGACGATCTGAGATCAGTTCTCAGTCCCCTCACGCTGTCCTGACCTCCACATGAACACTGTGGTACACAAAGCACACACACAGAGGAGGGGGGAGACTGAGAGAGGGAAAGGAGGAGAAATTTAAAGCAAGTCTTTAGACATTATGGATAAAATAGGGTAGGGAATTGTAGAAGGGATTGTTCTTTCATCTTGTTTATTGATGAAATTCCCAAATTAGGATTTATAGGTTCTTTTTTTTTTTTTTTTTTTTTTTTTTTTTCCCCCAGAGACAGTTTTTCTGTGTAGCTCTGACTGTCCTGGAACTAGCTCTGAAGACCAAGCTGGCCTCGAACTTAGAGATCCGCCTGCCTCTGCTTCTTGAGTGCTGGGATTAAAGGTGTGTGCCATCACCGCCTGACTGTGGATCTTAAGGTTAACCTTAAGGTTAACTCTAAAAGCCTTTGATAATGTCAGAGGGAAAGTGCTATAAAGAAAAAATATTGCTGAGTATGGTGGCAATGTCTTGTAATCCTAGCACTTAGAAAGATTGAGGTAGGATGATTGCAAGTTGGAAGCCACTTTGGGATACAGTGATTTACCATTAAAAAGGGGGGGTGTGAATGGTGGGCCCTAGAGAGATGTCTCAGTGGTTAAAAACACCTCCCACTCTTCCAGAGGACCCCAGTTTGATTCCCAGCACCCACATGGTGGCTCACAACTGTCTGTAACTCCAGTCCCAGGGTACCTGATGCCCTTTTCTGGCCTTTACCATACCTGTGATACACAGACATCCATATAGGAAGGCATCACACAAGTACACAGGCATACATGCAGGCAAAACACCTGTACACATAAAAATTAATAATAAAATTAAAAAACAAAGTGCTACCAGCAACAAAACCCCTATTAGATAGATAGATAGATGGATAGATAGGTATGAAATATTGACCACATATACATTTGACCAGTAAAAAAAGTTTGCATTGATTTTTTTCATTAACAGTATAAACTAACTAATAAGGGATGAAGTTAACAATATAGTCATAGTATTACCTAGGATAAGGTCAGTCTCTTAGCAGCTGCTCATGCCTTATAGTGACCTCTGTTAACAAAACATTTCCCCTACAGTCTACTTGAGGTTGGAGTCACTTGATGGTTTATAGTCATTAAAAAACTCATTCCAGGTGGGCAGTGGTGGCACACACCTTTAATCCCAGCACTTAGGAGGAAGAGCCAGGTGGATCTGAGTTTGAGGCCAGCCTGGTCTTCAGAGTGAGATCTAGGACAGCCAAGGTTACACAGAGAAACCCTATCTTGAAAAACCAAAAAAAATTCTTTAAGAGAGACACACAAGGAGCTGATGTTGGCTCAGGTTTTTATACTACAATTTATTGTAGATAGTGATCAGTGCACCTTTCAAACAAAAGAAAGCAACTTTCTTCCATCCATCCTAACTTTTTTCCTTTTCTTTTTCTCTTTCTGTTTCTCTTTGTTTCTTTTCTTTCTCCCTTCCTTTCCTTCTTTCTCTCTTTCCTTCCTTCCCTCCCTCCCTCTCTCTCTTTCTTTCAACATGGTCTCATTGTGTTACACTGGGTGGCCCAACCTCACTACAAAGACCAGACTGGTCTCAAACTCACAGAGATCCGCCTACCTCTGGGATTAAAGGTATGCACTAAAGTTGTTTGATTTTTAAGTAATTGGTACTGAAAAGCAGCTTTAATACAAAATTGATTGTGACATTTAAAAACAAAATGTTGGTTTGACAAGGTAGATGGTAACACTGTCAAAATACTTTCAGGGGGATAGATGAGGCATTCTTTAAAATTCAGACATATTACAACTAACAATATTATACTAGTCTTTATTGTAATCAATTAGGAAACCCAACCCCCCAACAAGTTTTGAAGTGGTTTTCTAATATTCATTTTACTGCTAAAAGAAAAAAAAAAAAAACTCAGAAAAGTCACACTATTACCAGTTAAAGAAACAGCAACAAAAATATGGGATTTCAGCTCTATCTAAATATGCAACTTTTTTTTGTGTGTGTGTGTTTTTAATTTTATTGTGTGTTTTGCTTGCATGTCTCTCCAGCCCCCACTTTTCTGTTTTTGCTTGCTTTGTTATTGGTGTTCGTGTTTGAACCTAGGGCCTTATATATGCTATGCTTGTGTTCTTCCATTTAGGTTATACCTCCAAACCCTGTAGCACATTTTATAGCAAACTATCACTGTTATTCTTTATACCCAAGGCATCTAGGCTAGTCCAAGTGAAAAATGGACATGAATTATCTGAAAACCTGAGGTTTTAAAATAAAGACAAAGGGGAGAAAGAAAAAATACACCAAGCCTTATCTTTGGCTTCGACAGGCACAGAATATTCTGTATGCTCGATAACCTATAACCAAATAATTTTCTTAAAAATAAGTCCACTTTTGAACTTCATTTTTTGTTATATTGTCATTCACTGACTGTTCTGGACACAGTCACCTATGTTTAAAAATCTTTGCACTTAACAAAGATATAATCAGGGCTAAAGATATGCTCAGTGGACAAGCATATGTTTGGCAGGCACTGAACATTGGGTTCAAGCCCCAGTACCAAAAAATACACAGAGTAGGGCACATGGAGTAATAATGTGACGAGGACCAACATTTAGGAGCACAGATATTATAGCATTATAAAAGATTGGTAAAAAATTTTCAGAACAAGTAACGTATGAACAGGACATTGAATGAGTCCTGTTTTCCCAGGGACTGGCAAACATAAGGGGCAGGGCCGAATAGCGGACAGGAATTTGAAAATACAGATTGTCTTATACCAAATCACTAGCTAATCTTTACTATATTTTTTTACACTTGTCCTCTTTAATTCCTAATCACATCTGTATTGCTATAAGTCAATAGATGAAACAATTCATGATCCAGTGTACACTTAAAGCCACAAGCAAACTTTCTGACCATTTACTGGATAGGAAAGGTAGGGCAACTGGAAGACAGTTCTGAAGCAGATCTCTTAAGATCTGAACATGATGCATGAGGATAGACATAGACACAAAAAAAACCCTACCATTAAGTCAGGCATGGTGGCACACACCCATAATCTCAGCACTTGGGATGTGGAGGGGTCAGGAATTCAAGGTCATCCTTGATATATAGCCAGTCTGAGGCCAGCTGTGTGCGCCACCACTGCTTGGCTCATTATTACTTTAAAGTTCCGTACAAGCAATTAAAATATGTACTAGGGGCCTTTAATCCCAGCACTCAGGAGGCAGAGGCAGGCAGATCTTTGAGTTCAAGGTCAGCCTGGTCTACAGAGTGAGTTCCAGAACAGCCAGGGCTACACAGAGAAACCCTGTCTTGAAAACATAGAAATTAATTAATTAATTAAAAAATAAGATATGTGCTAAATCAGGTAGTGGTGAATTCCTGTAAGTCCAGCACTTAGCAGGCTAAGGCAGGAATATCAGAAGTTCAAGACGAGGCTGGGCTACATAGTGAAGTCCTATTTCAATCTTTTTGATGTTCTTTTTTTTTTTTTTTTTTTTTTTTTTGAGATAGGGCCTCTTGGTAGCTTGATCCTCCTGCCTCCTCCCAAACGTTGGGATTAAAAGCACAATCATCACTCCCAAATTGAAACTCTGGCACCCCCTCACCAAAAAAAAAAAAGTCCAAAAGTATTTAAAAATATATAAATTTTTGTCTTAAATACATACAATTTACCTTAAAATGCATATTTTATTTCAGTAGTCAATGACCATCAATCAAACAAAGAAAAGGAACCTAATTTTATGAAGAAAGACAAAGCTATGGAGTGGTTTACAGGAAGTGAAGAATGACAAGGCTCTACTAAAGCAACTTGGAATCATAGCTACAGAATGTCCAACTAAATGCAAGACAATGTCAAAATGGGGCAGTTACCCAGCTGTACAATGTTCTCTAGCTTCTGTTACTCCTCAAACATATGTAAAAGTTACACAAATCATAGTAATAACTGAAAGTACCAGTTTATGACAGCGATTGAGAATATGTTCTCATTTGATACTTCTCTGCCTTCAAATTGATTGCTGTCACCTCAGGTACTCAGTTCAGCTGTGGTTTGAACTTCCTTAACCTGATGAGAAAAGCTAGTTTGAAAGAGAACACAATTAAGGTCATACAGTGCATTAGTTAAAAGAAAGAAACATTTAATATGTTCTGAAAATATTACTGACATGTATGACCAGTTTGCAATATAGGGACATGGTCTGTATAGAAAATGTGATTCTTCTGTAACAGAACAAAATGCATACTATACTGTGTAAGTGTTTTATAATTTGTTCACAAAAAAGTATTGAAACATTAAACACTGTTCTTTTCCTGTAAGCTTTTTCTGAGACCTTTTTTTCTTCTTCTTCTTTTTTTTGCATTGTTTTGGAGCTATGTTGCTAGTCAATATACAGAAACATTTGCCAGTGCTCACATAGTAACCTTACAGACAAGCTTATAACCAAATGGATAAGCCTGTTCATAAATCAATATATCTGAAACCCTTTTCATGGCCTAAATAATATACACATACAAGGACCTAAACTTGCTTCTTGGAAGAACTCCAGCAACACTTTAGGACTTACATTTTGCAATTAATTTAACAGAATAGAAAAATACTACATTTCAGTTTCTGTACCAAAAAAATCTCTGAAGAGTATCTGATAGTTATGTGAGTGTATTAGTGTGTGAATGTGTTGGTCAATATACTTAAGAATCCAAAATACTTACTATCAGAAACAAGCATAAAATAAAACTGAAGCTCAACATGGTTCTCCTCTTGAAATACTTCGTTTCCAACTCCAATTTCCTTGAGAGAATGTAATTGTAAATTTGTGTTGATTTTGGTCTGACTTTTGGACCAAGCAGAATGCCACTTCTCCGTTTTGTAAGGCAAAGCAGCCAATCTCTGACCTCACTTATCTGTTCACATGAGAGAGCAAGTTCACAGGTGCGAATCCCATCCAAAAGTTCAATAACCTGTGTGATGCTTTCAGAAAAGTGAAAAATGTTTATTTCTATCAAAACAATAACTTTGTAGTCTAAGTTAACTACATTTCTCATCCAAATTTAAATGTTATTACCTAAATTTAGATACAATAGTTAAATGAAAGGAAGGATTAAAAGGGCAAGTTAGGTGGGATGCAGCTCAGTAGTAGATGCTTGCCTGGCATGTGTAGGGCCCTGGGCTCAATCCCAGTACTACCAAAACAAAAACAAAAACAAAAAAGCATCAGGTCATGAGCAATTTCATAGACTTATAAAGTGAACAACAGAGACCATTATTTAACTTTACTTTTAATATTACACTTTCAATTTTCCAACCTGCCCCCCAAAAAAACAAAAAACTCTTTATTACTATTTTTGTAAAAGATAATTTAAACAACAATATAATGAAATTTGGAACATATGGTCATTTTGTAACAATTTTACAAAATGAAATGTACACCTCACCCAGTTACAAAATGATCATTTTAGCCTGACATATAAGCAAAATAAAAATAGTTTCATCAGGAGGCTGAGGCAAGGGAGGTTACTGGGAATTCAAGGCAGCCTAGGCCACACAGTGAACTGAAGTTCCAGACCACTCTGGGCTACAAAGTGAGACCCTGTCTGAAAAAATGGGGGGAGGTGGGTAATTTAAAAATCATAAAGAAGGCCGGGCGGTGGTGGCGCACACCTTTAATCCCAGCACTGGGGAGGCAGAGGCAGGTGGATCTCTGTGAGTTCGAGGCCAGCCTGGTCTACAGAGCGAGATCTAGGAAAGGCGCAAAGCTACACAGAGAAACCCTGTCTCGAAAAACCAAAAAATAATAAAATAAAAAATAAAGAAAAAAGGGCTGTGGTGGCCCACACCTTTAATCCCAGCACTCGGGAGGCAGAGGCAGGCGGATCTCTGTGAATTCGAGGCCAGCCTGGTCTACAGAGCGGGCTCTAGCATAGCCAGAGCTACATAGTGAGACCCTCAAAAAATGTATTTATTGGGGAGCCTATGGAGGTCAGAAAACAAAAGGAGTCCCCTCCTCTCACCACGTGGGCCTTAGGGACTGGACGTCAGGCTCGGAGGCAAGCACCTTTACCTATTGAGCCATCTGGCCAGCCTTAACCCTTTTTCCTTCATACTCAATAACATAAAACCATGCCAGTGCCGGTATTCTGGCAGTCTTTTCTTATCTCAAAACTTTGATCCAACTTAAGCAAAAATAATTTGTGATATTTCACAGTATTCATTTATAAACTGACAAGAATTTATTTTGCAAAGGTGTTAAATATATCTGGGGGGGGGGAGCCAAATGGTCCAAGGTTACAAAAATCTCTTCCCAATCCCTAACCCCACATCTTCCATCTTCCTTTGGAGGTAGTTCCAGTACTAGGCACTTGCCCTTCCTGTGACAGCTGTTACTTGCACAAACCTGCAAGTAATTCCGTGTTTTAATACGTATTATGGTTAAATCACCCCCTTTCACTTTCCTTGACATGGTCACTTCAGCAATATGCAGACACTGTGCTCTTTTTAACCACTGTATTTCATGAGTTATTTAACCGGTAGCTTCTTGATAACCATTTAGCTGTTTCTAGTCTTACTCTGACACAAATACTTAAGGGAACATTCTTCTGCCTAAGTCTATGTAATGGCAATCAATTACAAATTAAGCTCAAGAGGTATGTAAGATTTTTATAGTGAAAAGTATGTGCATTTGTCCTGTTACAAAATATTACCAACTTATATTACATAGTAGCATACTAAAGTGTCTGTTTCTCCATACCCACCCCAACAGTTATCAACATTTTACATGTGCCAATCTAAAATGTGAATAGTTTGCCATTGTTCTTCTTTCTTTCTTTTCTTTTTTCTTTTTTAGATAGGTTCTTGTGTAGCCCAGGCTATCCTAAAACTAAGTAGCCCAGGTTAACCTAGAACTCAAATCTCCCAACAGTGCTAAGATTATAGGTATGTGCTTCCATGTCTGGCCTACCACTGTATAATTTTCATTTTTCTTAAATTATAAATGAGGCTGAGCTATGTGTGTGTGGGTATACATGTTTGTATATGTTCAGAGAGTATACCCACTGTGTGTCTTCCTCTACTGCTCTCCACTTATTAAGACAAGGTCTCTTCGCTGAACCTGGAGCTCACAGCTTCTACTAGATTGGCTGGCCAGTGAGCTCTGGAGATCATGTCTCCCCCTGCCCTATGACCTCCTTTAGTTATGCCAATCTTACCTGCTTTGGATAAAAATAAGCTCACTGCACCACAGCCTGAGTCTGCTTCCAAAACCGTGTCCCCTGGGCTGATGTCCATCATCAGTACATCCTTTATCTCCTATGATGGAACACAGTGTGAGTGACTCATAAATACATGCCAAACACCCATTCTCACCTTACACTACTGTTGGAGAAAGAATCAAAATAGAATTGAAAGCGGATTTTGCTTGATAAAATACAAATTCAAAAATCAATTAGTGTCTGAGTTAAGGTTTCTATTGCTGTGAAGAGACACCATGACCACAGCAACTCTTACAAAGGGAAACCATTTAATTGGGGTGGCTTACGTTTTCAGAGGTTCATTCCATGGTGCTGGAGCAGGAGCTGAGAGTCGAACATTTTGACCTGCAGGCAACAGGATGTGGTCTGAGACACTGGGTATGGCTTGAGCATATGAGACCTCAAAGCCCACCCCCACAGTGACACACTTCCTCCAACAAATCCACACCTCCTAATAGGGCCACTCCCATTGGAGGCCACTTTCTTTCAAACCACCACCATTAGCAAATACAGCAGCACTTCAGAACCAATTAGAAATTACAGATAAGGGCTGCAAGGGCTCAGAGGTAGCAGAAAGCAGCAGAGTGCCTTAACTTAAAAAATGAGAGTAGAGAATTAAAATAATCATGGTGGAGACAGGGTTTCTTTGTGCAACCCTGGTTGTCCTAGAACTAGCTCTATAGGCCAGGTTGGCCTCAAACTTACAAAGATGCACCCGCTTCTGCCTCCCAAGTGCTGGAATTAAAGGCATGTGCCACCACCTCCCGGCAGTAGGAACAGCTTTAAACATAGCACAAGGAGGATAAGCACTTTAGGATGGAAGACAGAGACTTAAAAGCCAGCATGAGGCATTTGAATTTGGCCTGGTAAGCAGTTAGGGTGTGTCACTGAGGCAGCAGAAAGAGCATTTTATGAAGACTGATAATGGCAAGGGAATACATGAGAGGCCAGAAAATCAGTTTTGAAGTTATTAGACACCTTTTTCATGAAATGATGAAAACATTTTGATGTGAGCAAAAAAAAAAGGAACTTTATCAAGAAATTGAAGCTGGATGGTGGTGATACACACTTTTAAGTCCAGTACTTGGGGATCAGAAAAGGAAAAGAAAAAAGAAAAGAAAAGGAAATGATTAACTTTTAATTTAGAATTATAATATTAGAGAATTTGGAACCTTGCTATGTAGACCAGGCTGGCCCAAACTCACAGCAATTTTCCTGCCTCTGTCTGCTAGATGCTAAAGGCATGCACCATCATGCCCAGCTAATAGAACTCCATCCTCTAGGCAGATAAGACCTTTGTAGTCTGGACATCAGCGTATATTACCCAATGAGACCTCAAAATATCCCAAGGATGGTCCTATTAATATTCGGTCCTTGAAGTGGGTCAGGGGTGAGTTTCACCTACCTACCCACTCCTGCTCACCCATCAAAACTCAACTTCTCCACGTCCCAGCTGCTGTTTTACGTTGTTATTAGGGGTGACAAAGCATATAAGAGGTGGAAGGTTTACTGGGGTTGGGGCTCCATTGATGTGGCTTTAGAAAGCAGTCATCCATGCTTGGATGGGGCTTTTCCAGGAAGCGGCTCCTTGGCATACTCACGCATCAGTACTTAATCCCAATAATCTCACTGGCTCACCAAACTCGACTTAGATGGAATCGTTTCTTTGGTCTGCTGGTGTCCTATCTGGGGTGAATACCATTTATGAGCATCTCCCGAGAAAAAGAACAGAACCCAGGATTTTTGATGCATTCTAGGCAAGCCCTCTACAGCTGAGTTACATCCCTAACCCTAATATAAATATATATGACAAAATATACTTCCAGTAACATATCTTATTAAGTATTATTATTAAAATACCGCCATGGGGCCTGGAAGGTGGCTCAGCCTACAGTAGATACACTGTGGACAAGTCTGGTAACGTGAACATGATTCCAGGATCCCACAAGGTGGCAGAAGAGAACTGACTTTGAGAGTTACCCTCTGACCTCCAGGCCCTGACTGCGGGCTCGCAAGCATACGTGCAAGAAGGACACACACACACACACACACACACACCAAATATTAAAAAATAATAGTGTCACAATGATACTACAAAATTTACCCCCAAGCAGACAACATTCTCTTAAGTACTGAACTCACTTAAGAGCTGTGGGGAGCAAACGAATGCGTCTGTTTAGCGAGTCCACATCACTCTAATAGAAAACTGGCATAGCCTTCATTTTAGATAAGGGAGTACGGGCTATCAAATTTAAACTCAGTTTTTTTCTGAAATTATCAGCATCTGGACAGGTTTTAAAACCCAACATGTTGAAAAACTCCAACGTTTGGTGAGATGATGAGAACATTCATCAGATTGTGGTCCTGCGCCCGTCTTTGCCCTTCCTGGAACCCATACCCACCTAATCCCCTTCGCAACACCTCTGGATACATTACGGTAAGCCCTCTTTTCATCAATAATACATAATCCCCCAAAGCTGGTCTCTGCAGCAGAAAACTCTTACCAGAGGAACTCGTCGAGATCTGTCCGGGGAACTTGTCCACGATCTCGCTGAACGGGACTGCCCCCGGTTAGTATCAAAGTGTCCGACGTTGCACAGCCGAAATCATTTCTTAAATTGCGTGTGTCTTTTCCCCGTCTGACCTAAAATAAGCTCCCCGATCCGAAAGGGTCCCCTCTCTGGAAGGGGAGCAAGAAGAGAAAACCTGAAGCTCTCCGGGCTCGGTCTCCCACTGAGCCACCGCGGACAGCACGCGATCCCCGGGGTCACAGCGTGAGGCGTCCCAGCGGCTCTGCTCTCCACTGCAGTCCTCCCGATCTCGAGGGGGTGACTCTTCCCGCGAAGTCCACAGCCGGAGGTTTTCCACAGACCAGAGACACCGAGTCCAGACACTCCGGACACCGGGAGCATGAGATGGGGACAACCCCCGCACGCCTTCTCCATCTCGCGCCTCTCCCGGCGAGGACTCGCAACACCGGAACCGAGCTCCCTTCTCCAGACACTAACCCAAAGTCGAACAGGAATGAATAGACGCCGAGCCTCGGCTGACTCTGGAGCGAAGCAGCCTCAACGACGAAAAGCAACAGCTCAGATGCTGCCGCACACATATGACGCAATCCCAGCCCCAGCCCCTGCGCCTTGTTTCGGGGCAGCGCAGGCTGCGGGCTCGCCGGCGTCGCAGGCAGAGTTGCGTCACTGCTCCTGCGTCCTGCAGGCACGGTGGGCGGAGCCTGGGGCTCGTTGACCTCAGGGCTAAGGACGGTCTCTCGAGCTGAATTTCTTGCTTTTTCTCCCGGGTGGCGAGAGTAACGAGTTTACCGCTCAGCAGCCTCCGCTAGCAGCCCGGGGACAGGAGGACCAGGAAAGACGAAATGTAGAGATTGTGGAACCTGCAAAGTCTTCTACCAGGTTTAAGTCGCTAGTGATGGTAAACAGGAACATCACCTATCATCCCCAAGAGGCAAAAGTTAAACTAGCCCTGAGATTCGTTGGTCAAACGTCGTAGATCGCAGTGCCTGGTGACCCGCCCACCTTGCTCATAGCCGGCAAGTCCTTTTCGAATGGGTACGGACTGTCTGTCCGTCCTCAGCCCGATGTCCAGAGTGTCCACAGAGGCAGAGGAAGTCACTAGTGGCCACCGGGGGTATAGCTCAGTGGTAGAGCATTTGACTGCAGATCAAGAGGTCCCTGGTTCAAATCCAGGTGCCCCCTTTCCTTTGGTTTTGGAAACCAACTGAAGCCAGAGGTATGGTGGCTCACGCCTTTAATCCCAGCACTCCGGAGGCAGAAACAGGTGGATCTCTGTGAATTCGAGGCCAGCCTGGGCTACAGAGCAAGATCCAGCACTGTCAAAGACCAGAGCTACATAATAGAAAAAGCAAACTAAAAAGTGACACTATTCATTTGTGTTCTTATCCAACAGAATTCTTAAAAAAAATCAAACAACACAATTGTTTGAACCTCCCCGCCCCCAAACGAAATAAATGCTTCTTAAAACTGAAGTTACCTTTTGCACCCAAAGTTAAATATCACTGGCCTGTCTGCTTGATCACTGGGCACATGTTTACTGAGAATATACCATGCACGTATATTGAAAATTCACAACTCAAGACGAAGATTATATGACTTCAGAAAGGTCCCTGACATGATAGCTGAGAAGTGGAATGTGACAGTTCTAACTAGTCAACCAAATTCAACAGCCCTTGTGGATTGTACCAAGTTCTAACTAGTCAACCAAATTCAACAGCCCTTGTGGATTGTTCCATACACCTTTTCTAAGGACTAACCAAGGACCGGGGCGATAGCTCAGTCTGTAAAATGCTTGCTTTGCAAGAACTGGGGTCTGAGTTTGATTTCCAGAACCCACGTTTAAAAGAGAGGTGGGCAGCGAGATGGTTTAGTAGATAAAGATGCCTGCCCCAGAGACTGATGACTAGATTTCTGTCCTAGGAACGAACTCATATGATGGAAGAACAGACTTTCCTGGGTTCTCCTCTGACACACACATATTTTGTAGCAAGTGTTCCCCCCACCCCAATTTTTTTTTTTTTTTTTTTTTTTTTGGTTTTTCGAGACAGGGTTTCTCTGTGTAGCTTTGCGCCTTTTCCTGGAACTCACTTGGTAGCCCAGGCTGGTCTCGAACTCACAGAGATCCGCCTGGCTCTGCCTCCCAAGTGCTGGGATTAAAGGCGTGCGCCACCACCGCCTGGCCCAATTTTTTTTTTTAGTGGAACATGATGGATATGTAATTCTGACCCTAGGGAAGCAGAGAAAGGCAGATTCCCCCAGCACTCGCTGGCCAAGAAGCCTAGATCACTGGACAAGTTCCAGGTCAGTGGACTGAGACAGACCCTGTCTCAGCACCAGGCACGCACGTGGTACACAGACATACGTGCAGGTACTCATCCGTACACACAAAAATAAACAAAAGTCTTTTAAACATGAAAAATAAACCCCATTCACAGTCTGGGAGTGTAGCTGCTCGATAGGTAATTGCATGCTTGCATCAATGGCCTTGAGTTCAAGCCTCACCACCACGGGGGAAAAATTCTATTTGTATTTTTTATATTTACCTCATTTTGTGTCTCAAAACTGATTTGACCTACTATTGTTCTTTAAATGTCTGTGATAATTTCCTTATGTTACTGTTTAAAAAAAAAAAAAGCCAGGCGGTGGTGGTACACACCTTTAATCCTAGCACTCGGGAGGCAGAGCCAGGCGGATCTCTGTGCTACAGAGTGAGTTCCAGGACAGGCACCAAAACTACACAGAGAAACCCTATCTCAAAAAAAAACAAAAACAAAAACAATAAACAAAAAAACAGGACAGCCTGGTCTACAGAGTGAGTTTCAAGACAGCCAGGGGTATGCAGAGAAAAAAACAGAGACTGAGACTTATTTACATGAATGTTTTGCCTTGTATGCATGTGTGTCTACCACATGTGTGCCTGGTGCATTCAGAGGCCAGGAAAGGGCACCAGATCCCCTGGCACTGGAGTTACGGACAGTTGTGAGCCACCACCCTATAGATGCTGAAACTGAACTGGGGTTCTCTACAAGAGCGGCAAGTGCTTTTAACCTCTGAGCATCTCTGTAGGCCCTGCTTACCTTTCTTTTGTGTTTGTCACATTCTGCTTTGAGCATAAAATCATCCAGTAGGCATTGGTGGGTTGCATTACTTCTAATTTTGTTATGTGTAAGTAGATTTTTTTTTTTAAAAAAAAAAAGAGATGAACCACACAAGATGCTCTATGAGCAGAAACAATGTCCTTTTAAATGTCTTCCATGCATTTCCTCAGAGAGCACTTCCTCGATATCCCTCCATTCCAGGCTACTTTCTGTTCGCCTTGGGCTTTTCCTCATGTCCATTACTAACAGGTGAGATTGTTTGGCTCCATCTCCCAGGCTTCCATCTGCTTTTGAGTTCCGAGAGCAGATCTCTCTTACTCCACATTGTATCCCTGAGGTCCTAGCATGAGGTCTGAAGGAACGGATGAGGGGAAGTTGCAAAACAAAGCCATAGGATTTCTTTCCTCCTGCAAAATTAATTTCCTTGTGATGCATCGTGAAATAGGAAAACAAACCAATGCTCAGAGACAGGAGAAGAAGAGCTCTCTAAAGTCACTAACACAAAGTTAGCTACTGGGTCTAACAGTTCCTCTGCTTATAGACCAGAGGAGAGGATCCCCAAATTTATGTTCTCACATTCCTTAAATGGACACATCTGTGTACGTGTCATTTACTTTTTAGAAAATATTTCTGATTTTCCTTTTTTTCAGGTTTCTACAATCCATTATCATCCCAACAAGGAAGAAAAGTACCTTTCACTTTACCTGTGCTGTAAGGAGATGTGGAGAGAGCAGTGAGCTTCAGAAAGTCAAAGAGGCAGAAAGAGTCTGAATTTCTTTTTCCTGTGCATTGGTGTTTTGCCTGTATGTATATCTATGTGAGGGTGTCAGATCCCCTGGAACTGGAGGTACAGACAGTTGTGAGCTGCCATGTTGGTGCTGGGAATTGAACCCAGGTCCTCTGGAAGAGCAGCCAGTGCTCTTAACTGCTGAGCCGTCTCTCCAGCCCCTGATTTGATATCATTTGTGGAGAGCATGGCATGTGCTGGAGATATTACTCTGCATGACACGGTTCTTCAGACAAGTTCTCAGAGCACAGGATCTGCACAGCCAGACTTAGGACTACATGAGTCCTTATCGCAACCCTTATTTTTAATTTTCTCCAAAACATACGTTTAAAACGGAATTCTGGGAGGTTTTCTTGAATAATAAATGGCTGTTGTTTACATCTAAATTTTCCAAAGTTATTTTATTGTTCAATAATATTCTTTTATTAGTAGTTATGGATTTTTCAATAATATGGATCTCCTTTATTGTTGACTTCCCATGATGCAGTTGAGATTCAGCTGTTTTACCCCATTTTCTGCTCTTAACCCTCAGCTCTGCATGTATTTTCCTACCTATGTTTCCCAGCACTTTCTTATCACAGTTTTGGCTACATTGATATTCAACGCTCAGATCATTATGGTCATATAAGTACTATTTGCAGCTGGATTGTCTGTTTCACTGAGCCACGTTAACATAGCTTTTTGAGGGGACTAGAGAGGTGGCTCGTTGGTTAAGAGTGCATACTGGGGGAGGGGGGGTTAGGATTTAACTCAGAGGCAGAGCACTTGCCGAGCAAGCGTGAAGCCTTGAGTTCAGACCCCAGCTCTGAAAAGAGCTGGCAGAGCATGGTGGCACAGGCCTTTAATCCCAGCATTTGGGAGGCAGAGGCAGGAGGATCTCTGTGAGTTTGAGGCCATCCTGGTCTACATAGTGAGCTCCAGGGCAGCTATGACTACATAGAAGACCCTGTCTCACAACAACAACAACAACAAAAGAGTTCATACTGCTCTGCTTTCAGTTCCCAGCACCCACATCAGGCAGTTTACAACCTCCTGAAACTCCAACTCCAATAGATCCAGTGCCCTTCAAGGGCACTGGCACTCATGTTCACACACACACACACACACACACACACACACACACACACACACACTTCAAAAGGCTGTTTTAAAAGATGTTTTATTTTGTAAGTGTGTGTGTTTGGGGATGTGCATGCACATGTGTGTCCATGTGTGGAAGCCAGAGAACAAACTTGGGAGCTGTCACTCAAGAATACCATCCACATGGCCGGGCATGGTGTCTTACGCCTTTAATCCCAGCACTCAGGAGGCAGAGCCAGGCAGATCTCTGTGAGTTCGAGGCCAGCCTGGTCTATAGAGCGAGATCCAGGACAGGCACCAAAAAAACTACACAGAGAAACTCTGTCTTGAAACCCCCCGCCCCCTGCCAAAAAAAAAAACAAACCACGAAACAAAAACCATCCACCTCATCTGACGTAGTGTCTCTCATTGGCCTGGAGCTCACTAATTAGGATAGTCTAGCAAGCCCCAGGAACCCTTTATCTCTGCCCTCCCAGTACTGGAGTTATAAGCCTGCCACCATGCCCATTTTTACATGGATTCTAGGGACTGAATGACGTTCCTTATGACTGCGAGGCAAGCATTCTCCTCAGCTCTGAAATAATACCTCTTTTAGTATTTGAAATGAAACCATGCAGGTAATACAGGTCTATAACCCCAGTTATTCAGGAGGCTGAGGAAGAAAGATCACTAAGTCCAGGTCTGCCTCCTGGGCTACAGAATGAATTCAAGACGAAGCAGGCAAAACTTTGTGAGACTTATCCACCTCCCTCTACCCCAGAAAAAAGAAAGAAAAATAAATAAAAAGAAGTGTGGTAGCCTTCAAAGAAGGATGAGGATGTAGTTAGTGTCTACCCTGCTTGTCTAAGCATGCGTGAGGCTCTAGGTTCAGTCCCAATGTATACAGAATACTTTAAATCAGGAATTCTCAACCTGTGGGTCACGACCCCCTTGGGGTTGACCGACCCTTTCACAGGGATCACCCAGGACCACTGGAAAACAAGGATATCTACATTACAATTCATAAACAGTAGCAAAGTCACAGTTATGAAGTAGTAACGAAAATAATTTTATGGTTGGGGGTCACCACGATATGGGGAGCTGTGTTACAGGGTTGAAGCATTGGGAAACCTGAGAACCCCTGGTTTAATTACTGGTGATGTCGTAAGACTCAACAGTCTAACCATATATTGCTATAGCTGTTTGTTCCTTTTCTGCACAAGTTTTGTTTTAGTTGTTATAAAACAAATGGGTGATTTTTAGAAAATAATTGGTCATTGACTCAACTTACCCTCTTCCAGCTGTATAAAACTCCACCCAATGTCTGCATTCATATTAGTTATCTTGTCATTTTCATCTGCTTACATTTCTCAAGACTTTGGGGTCATCTTCCTCTTCATCAGTTGGCCCCGTGTCCTCCAGAGTCACCCTTGATGGGAGATTGCCTCGGCCTCTCTGTCAGTTCTTCTGGGCTTCCTATATCCCAGCTTCTTTTTTCTCATCTACTCACTGCTTTTGGTAGAGAACATCATCCTTCACTCACTTCTAAAGAGAGCTTAGGAGGTAAAGTCTTTGCACCTCATACATCGGAAAACATCTTTATTCGACTCTCACTCTTTTTTGTTTTGTTTTTCAAGACAGGGTTTCTCTGTGTAACAGCTCTGGCTGTCCTGGAATTCACTCTGTAGACCAGGCTGGCCTCAAGCTCACAGAGAGCTCTGCCTCCCAAGTGCTGGGATTAAAGACCACCTTCTGGCTCCAACTCTCACTCTTGATAGCTAGGTTTTCTGGGTTCAAATTCTATTTTTCCTTAGGGTTTTTAATGCTTTCATTATCTTCTAGCTTTCACTTTCTGATAGATTCCGTCTGATTCCTGGTAGTTTTTCTGTCCTCTCCCTCTGAATCTTCTTATGAATTGTTCACAGCGATGTAATTTTAAGTGTGATTTCATCCACTATCTCCATCATTTGTGGAGCTTTTTGAAAGCATTTTACTTGTTCCATGTGCATAGGTGTTTTGCCTGCATGTGTGTCTATGCACCACTTGCGTGCCTGGTACCCTTGGAAGCCAGAAGAGGGCATCTGATCCCGTGGAGGAGGAGTTACGGAGAGTTGTGAGCCACCACGTGGGTGTTAGAAATTGCACCTGGGTTCTCTGGAAGAGCAGCCATTGCTCTTCGGGTGGTTGGAGTTGTTAAGTCATCTCTCCAGCCCCTATTTTCTTTTATTCCATTTCCCTCCCCTCACCTAACCACCATCCGACTCAGCTTCTACACAGCAGACTATTTTAGATGTCATACAAGTTAAACCAGGCGGTGCTTGTTCTGTGATTGACAGCCACACTTGGTACAGTGCCCTCCAGGTTCATCCATGTTGGGGCAGACAGCATACACTTCTTTTCGCTTTGTTTTGCTTTGTTTGTTTGTTTGTTTGTTGTTGTTGTTGTTTTCGAGACACGGTTTCTCTATGTAGCCCCGGCTGTCCTAGAACTCGCTCTGTAGACCAGGCTGGCCTCAAACTCAGAGATCCACCTGCCTCTGCCTCCCGAGTGCTAGGATTAAAGGTGTGTGCCACCACTGCCCAGCATGCTTCTTGTTAAAGGTTAACTAACTATCACTCTCAATGTATATACACATTTCCTGTCGCCACTCATTTGACAAGGGGTATTTAGATTACTTCGGTATTCTGCCTATTGTGGATAATTTGCGGCGAACACAGGACTGCTGGCAATCTCTTTGATAGCCTGAATTCAGTTCTTTCTCATAGCTGTCCAGATGGGATCGGTAGAGCATATGATCGTTCTATTTTTAACTTTTTTTGAGGAACCTCTATACTGTGTTTTTCTTCTTTCCACACTGTTTTCCACAGAGGCGTACAAATTCACATTCCTACCAGCAGTGTGCAAGGCTTCCTTATTTTGCACATCCTTGCCAATATGTGTTTCATATTTCCCAATAATAAGCACCCAAGCAGATGTGAGATGACACTGAGGTTTTCCTTTGCATTTCTCTGATAATCAATGATCTTCTCATGTGCTTGGTGACCATGTTCTTTGGGAAAATGTTGATTCAAGATCTTAGACCATTTTAAGATGAGACCAGTTTGGTTTCCCAAGTCCTTCCAGTTTAGAATTTCACGTTCTTTGCTTCTGGAAAAATCTTTTCTTAAATTTTTTAAAAATTATATGGAGAGATGTGGGTGGGGTAAGAGACAGGGAAAGGTGAGGTAAGGGAGAAGGAGATGGAGAGGGAGAGACTTGTATGTGGAGATCAGTGGACAACTTGCAGGAGTTGATTCTCATTTTCTACAATGTGGGTCCTGGGGTCCGAACTCATGTCCTCAGGATTGTTGGCAAGTGCCTTTTCCCATAGAGCCTCTGTTTGAAAAACAAAAACAAAGAGCAACACATGCATGTGAGTTAAAAAAATTTTTTTAAGGTCTGAGTTATAGCCCTGTGCTTGCCCATCAAAGCTCCACATTCGAGCCTAAGGAGAAAAAGGAAGAAAAAGAAAGAAATGAAGGAAAGAAAGGGGTCTGGAGAGGTGACTCAGTAGTTCAGAGCCTTGACTGCTCTTCCAGAGAATCCAAGTTCAGTTCCCATCCTCCACATGGTGGCTGACAACCATCTGTAACTCCAGTTCCAGGGGTGGGGTCTGACACCCTCTTCAGGTCTCCATTGGCATCGTGCACACATGGTGTACACACGTACGTGCAAGGAAAGCACCCAGACACATTAAAAAATAAATACATAAAAATTAAAATTAAGGGGGTCTGGAGAGCTAGGTCAGTGGGTAAGAGCATTTATCGATCTTCTAGAGGATCTGAGTTCAGTTCCCAGCACCCTCATGGTGTTTCACAACTGTCTGTAACCCCAGTTCCAGGGATCCACAACATTCTATTATGGTTTCTATGGGTACCAGACACACAAGTGGCGCACACATTCGTGCAGGCAAAACACCCCTACACATGAAATAGATAATAATAATAATAATAATAATAATAATAACAACAACAACAAAGAATTCTTTTAAAAGAAAGGAAATAAAGAAGGGAGGAAGGAAGGAAGGAAGGAAGCGTTCTGGTTTGATATCAATGATGCGGTACCTTTCCTTGTTCATTGTTTTAAAGGTGTGGACCACCACGCCTGGCCTTCTCATTATTTTATTTATTTATTTATTTATTTATTTATTTATTTATTTATTTATTTATTGGAGCTGAGGACCGAACTCAGGGCCTTGCGCTTGCTAGGCAATCGCTCTACCACTGAGCTAAATCACCAACCCCTTTATTTTAATTTTACGTGTATGAGAGTTTTGCCTGCATGGATCTAAATGCACCACATTCATGCAGGTGCCCTTGGAGTACAGAGAGGGCATCAGATCACCTGGAACTGGAGTTGCAGGCTGTTGTGAGACATCATGTGGGTACTGGGAACTGAACCCAGGTCCCCTGCAAGAACACTGAATGTTCTTACCCACTGAGCCATCTCTCTAGCCCCCTTTTCTTATTTCTTAGAGGTTGTTGTAATCTACCATTTGTTAAGACATACATTGTTCACACTGTAAATATTTCCAAAGGTTGGGACTGATTTAAGTGCTTTGACTTTGAGAAACCCACCAGAAATCTATGTTTCTGAGAGCTGTTGCCATAGACTCCTATAAACATGACAGTGTAACAACAGAAATGTATTAGCTCAGAGCCTGACACCAGAAGTCCAAGCCTTTAATATGACTATGCTCCCTCCAAAGGCACTAGGGCAGAATTTTATTATACAGTATCACTTGTAGTGCCAAGGATTGAATCAGGGTCTTGTTAATGCTGGACTTGCTGTATACTGAGCTACACCCCCAGCCCTTGGGGGAGAATTCGCCACTTCTTTCAGAATTCTCTCCCCTTTTTTTGAGATTGGGATTCTCTGTGTAACAGCCCTGGCTGTCCTGGAACTCATTTTGTAGTCCAGGCTGGCCTTGAACTCAAAAAGATCCACCCCGCCAGGCGGTGGTGGCGCAAGCCTTTAATCCCAGCACTCGGGAGGCAGAGGCAGGTGGATCTCTGTGAGTTTGAGGCCAGCCTGGGCTACAGAGCTAGTTCAGGACAGGCTCCAAAGCTACAGAGAAACCCTGTCTTGAAAAAACAAAACAAAACAAAACAAAACAACAAAAAAAAGATCCACCTCACTCTGATTCCCTAGTGCTGAGATTAAAGGCGTATGCCACTACTGCCAGGCTTTTTTTTTGGACACGAGGTCTCTATGTAGCTCTGGACCAGGCAGGCCTCAAACTCACAGAGATCCACCCATCTCTGCTAAAACTAAAGGCATGTGCCTCCACACCTGGCTTTGCCTGTCTTCATGTGACCATCCTCATTCTGTATATCTCTGTCTTCCAGGTAAATGTTCACCTGTTTATCTTAGAAGTGTTCCAGTCTCTGGATTTAGGGCCTACTTCAGGATATTATCATCTTGAGATCCTTAACCATAGGCAAGGCCTTATTTCCAAACAAGGCCACATCTACAGTTAACAGAATGAGAACGCAGACACAGTCTTTTTGGCGACACTATTCAACTCAGCACTGTATCCATGTGAAGATGTTGAACTGAATATGCAAGGCTTAAGTTCAGGGGAAAGACAGCAGTTGGAGGCACACATTTGTGACCATCAGCACATGGATGGCGGCTGAGATTTATGGAGAAAGAAGAGCCCCAATAACCCCGATGTCAGAGAGTGGAGGGATGAGGAAGATTAAAGACAGGAGACACAGGATTAGAGGGAGGGCGGGGGGCATGTGCGGTTATGGAGAATGATGATGAGCATTTACATTGTACGGAGGGTCAGGCACCCTTCACTGTAGTTTCAGAGGGGGGGTGTGGCAGCTCTGTTAGAAGGAAGAAAGTGACAAAGGCTAGTTTTTAAAAAATACTTGTGTTTTTAAAGAAAAAAAAATAGAAACTATCATCTATCTATCTATTTTTTCTTTTCTTTTTTTTGATTTTTTTTAAGGATTTATTTATTTATTATATATACAGAAGAGGGTGCCAGATCTCATTATAAATGGTTGTGAGCCACCATGTGGTTGCTGGGAATTGAACTCAGGACCTCTGGAAGAGCAGTCAGTGCTCTTAACCTCTGAGCCATCTCTCCAGCCCCTATTTTCTTTTCAAGACAGGGTTTCCCTGTGTAGCCCTGGCTGTTCTGGAGCTTGCTCTGTAGACCAGGCTGGCCTCAAACTCACTGATCCACCCGCCTCTGCCTCCCAAGTGCTGGGATTAAAGGCGTGGGCCACCACATCTAGCTGGGAATATTTTTCAAAAAGGGAGAAATAATAGAATGTTTATGTTGACAATGAGCAAGTTAAGAGGTAAAAATTGCTGCCAGCAAGGAACGGAAAGCCTTTCTCAATAGTGACATCCTTGGGTTGAGCAGACAAGAGGAGAGATAACCTAGAACTGAAGTGGAGGCTGGCCTTTGGAACTGGGGCAGTTCATCCTTAGTCCCAGGAGAGTGGAGAGCTGGTGTTTCCGGGAGCTTGTGGTAATTCCTTGGTGACTGCTGCTGTTTCCTTAGGAAATAGGAAGCAAGGTCGCCTGCAGAGAGGAAGGATGGAGAGAACAAGGTGGAGGAGGAGGTTCAATATAACAGAAGTTGTGAGTTAGTATCTTGGAATTCTGGGAACAGTTGTACTAGGGAACAACTATTTCATAACTTGGAAAGACTAACTTCTCAAGCAAAATTAGTCACTGGGAGCTTAGAGTGAGGGGAAGACACTGTATAGCTTGGCTTCTCTCTAGCTCCTCTCAGGTCTTTGTGGGTGGAGGGTTAGACTTTGCCAGGTTGTAGTTCTGCCAAGGATGTATGACGAGAAAGCGAGAGGGAGTTAGGGATTACAAAGAGAGGTTTGAATAAAGAACGAAGAGCAGTGGTCTGAGAGGTTCCTGCAGGGTAGAAGCCAGGAAGGAAAATGGGTCTCTCCTACACACTCTCATCAGGCAAGGTGACAAGAGATACAGCTAGCCTCCGTTTCCTAGTCACATACTGCAGGGGAAAAGGGCCAGCCAAAGAACCCTACCCTGGCCCTGAAACTAGAGCCAAAGAAACACACTCTGCCCCTGACCAACTCAGTACAAAAAAACAGCCCCAATCCCTGAGCATGAAATCCAGCCAATCTCTGAACTTCTCCAAACCCAGGGATTGAAATCTGACCAGTTCCCACCCTGAAAACCTCCATCCTGAAAAAACTCCGCCCCAAAGAAGCCCTATATAAGCCCCGTGCCTGTTCGGTTTGCTGATGCCTTTTTCCACTTTGGCAGAGGCAGCCATCCTGCTGGATGATTCTTCTCTCCCAATAAATCTCTTGAATGAGGTTTGGGTGAGACCTTCTCTCACTGGAATGGAGCGGAACAGAGCAGAACTGTAACACTTTCATTGGAGAAACCTTCCCCTAGAGCAGAGATGTTACACTCCGGGTAAACTGAGCAGAACTGTAAAAACTTCGCTGGGGAAACCCTCCCATGCTGGAGCAGAGTTACTTACTATATTGGGATCTCCAGCAGGGCTGTTAAGCTGCTACCCTTACAGTGACTTTGTGGTAGCTCTTGGCTCCCGACTGCCAGGATCCCTTTCCATCCGAGCTGCAATGCTTACACATACCCCAGTTTTTCTATCTGAGAAATGGATAATACTGATCGTTTCTACTTTACCATATGAACACCTACAACACTGCTTGCCAGTAACTGTCTTGGGCCTTTCTTTTATACCATGCATCTTTGGGTCTTGCAAAGCCCACCGGTTCTCAGACATTGTCTTAAAGTCTCTGACACGGCTTCATCGTGCCTTGCTTCTGAAATTGCCGTGCTTTTCAGGGGCTCTTTCTCTTTGGGCTTTTAGCCGGTTTCACTGCTACCTCTTCTCAATCTCCTTTGTAGGATCCATATTCTCTTATTGACTTCTTAGCTTGGCGCTAAATTCTCTTTAGTAACATTCCTTTTGCCGGGGATGGTTTCAAAACAGCCTTTCTCTGTGTCGCCCTGGCTGTCCTGGAGCTTGCTTTGTAGACCAGGGTGGTCTCAAACTCAAGAGAGCTGACTGCTTCTGCATCCCAAGCTTGGGGATTAAAGGCGTGTGCCACCACGCACGGCTTCTTTATTCACATTCAACGCGACCTCCCTTTGTCTCCAATAGCCTCTGTATGTTAACATAGCCCAAATAGGCATCTTTCTTCTTCTCCGAGCCCCAACTACTACTTTGTTAGTCCTATGATTGGATAATTACTGTATGCACATCCTTGAAGAGACTAGAGGAAGATGGAGACAGTTGTTACAATCTTGGAGACAGGAGTAGATATTTCTTTGAAACATTTCGTGTAGTTATTTCACAGGCCATATTTTTAAAAGAAGGGCCTTGCTCTGCAGGATGTAGTCACTTCCCCACTCTTGGCGTCCTTCGCAGAGCAAGTGCAGATGGGCCCCACCGGGCCACCGTCCACAGGGTGGGCCCCCCGGCTCCGAGCGCTCCTGCGTCACGATCAGCCACTCCCTGGGCTCCCAGCGTTCCCTCCGCCCTACTTCCTCCCTCCAGGCCCCGCCCCGCGCCGGTGCGCCTGCGCATGGGCGAACACGTGGCTGCCGCGGAGCCAGAGCAGCAATGGCGGCCGGTGGCGGCGGTAGCTGCGACCCCTTGGCCCCGGCGGGGGTCCCCTGCGCCTTCTCGCCGGACGGTCAGGCCTACTTCGCTTTAGCCTCTAGTGACGGTCACCTGCGGGTGTGGGAGACGGCGAACAACCGGCTGCACCAGGAATACGTGCCTTCCGCGCACCTCAGCGGTACCTGCACCTGCCTGGCCTGGGCGCCAGCGCGGCTGCAGGCCAAGGTAGAGGGAGCGGGACGGGCGGCGGGGAGGGCGCCCTCCCGGACGGGCTCCGGCGTCCCGGGCCACGCGCGGCGCGGGGCAGCATGCCGCGCGTGGCCCGGGACGCCCGGGGCGAGGAGGCGCGGAGCGGGACGGCGGCGCCCCCTTGGCTCCCACGCCGCGGCCGAGAGCGCGGCCTGTCCCGAGGGGGGCAGTGAGAGGAGGGTGCGGCCCGAGCCCCGCGGTCTCCACGAGGTCTGCGCCCGGCTTTCGCTGGGCCGCCATGTTCACCGAAGCCCGTGCCCCCCCCCGGGGGGGGGGCAGCTTCACACTTCCAGGCCTGGCTCCTGAGCGTGTCGGCATCGGAGCTAGTCTCTGAGTAGTACCTTCGGGGCACTCTCCCTCTTCCGCATCCCAGACCCGGGGTATTGGTTTTGCTTTGGGCAGTAGGAATGCGCAAGTCTTGTTTTCCTTCCGGGAGCCCCTTTACTCGGATGCGTGTTCAACACGTGTTCTCCTCTTTCTGCCTCTAGATTGTGGGATTCCCACTGCCGCAAACTCTTTACTCTCCTAGCTTCCTTTCATTCTCAGCTGTTTAACTTAGGCTCAGTCCCACCTTTCTAAGCTTCCCCTCTCATCCTGAGGTCTGCATCGGATGCAGAGGCACAGTGGAGTAATGAAGTCGTAGAACCGCTTGGTTTAATGCGCATGATGCACGCCCCAGTGATTTTCCCGTAGTTGGGAAACTGCCGAGTTAGGGAATCCTTTTCGCTGTCAGGTAAATGCTGTTCACTGTTTAGTCACTCAGTTACATCTCAGATTACCACGCACGTGGTTACTGCAGTTAGGCAGTAGGCAGGCAAAAGGAATCACTGCTGTGTAGTCTGGAACTGGAAAGTATCCTGAAGTTTGGGACGCTTTGCTGTCACTGGCGAAAAAGTTAGAGGTAGTGTTTGGGATAGCTTACTTCCGATCACCAGGGAAAACTTAAATCTTTGGCTTGAAAGTTGTTGGGTTTGTATCTAACTTGCCATACTTTGGGTGAGTATGTTTAGCTATTTGTCAGGTTTTAAGCTGCGTTTCCAATTTCTCTTGGTGACAAAGAGCGCTTATCGGGCCCTGTAAATCAAACATAATCAGGCTTGTGAAAAGGCTATGTAACTGTCATCAGAATTGTAGTACTTTTTCCCTTCATAAGTTTTGTTTGTAATTTTAACAGTGCTGTAAAGTGGTGAGAGTCCTAACACCCAGAGAAATCAGACAGAGCAGTGGTTAGGTAAACACATGTGCACAGGCTGTGAAGTTGGAGTCCAGCCTCTGCAATAATTGTGCTTTTTGTTCCCTACATCAGTCATACCTGCTTCATAGAGTAGTTGTGAAAGGTAGTGTATTTAATAATGCAGAATCGCTTATATACAGTGTTTTAAGGGCAATGCTAATTATCGGTATTAATATATTTGTATAGTTGGTCCTGCAAGGTATGTAAAAGTGAGCAACTTCAATAAAGCCCCAAAGGAACTAGGCCTGGAACTCATGTCTTAAACCCAGTTCTTGGTTGCCTGCAATAGTTAATACTAGATTGGCCGTACCTTGGTTCACGTTGCTTTCCTGTTGACTTCCAATCTTGTATGCCCCAGAACGAAACCCAAGTTTCAAAAACCATTTTTTTTTAAATATATTTATCCACTGTGATACAGTAGGGATAAAAGCCTTTTTTAAAGGATCCCAACTTTAACTTTTCAACGAAGCGCCTCACATTAAAGCAACTTTATATGACAGAACATCTTAGTTGAGTCCTGGGTATGAAGCCAAAGAGGTGTGCTGGATGTGTAGTGCAGAGGAGGAACATGTGATTAGCATACCCAGAGTCCTGTGTTCAGTCCCCAGCAAGCCCTGCCCCTAAATGTTTGTAAGTTTCACTTTCCTTTTATCTGTATGTTGTCGTTTTCATAGTGTGACTATGAAATGTCCAGAAATTACTGCATTTAAAAAAAAAAAACTGATTTAGGGTTGGGATGGAGGTCAAAGATGGAATACTTGCCAAGCACATGAAAAGCCCTGGGTTTAATCTCAGGCACCAAAAAATAAAAAATGGAGCAGAAAAGCTGATAGCACTTGATTGAGTCAGGGCTTAGGGAGCTAAATGGCTTTAACCAAAGCCTTGATCACTAATAAGTAGTGGCACTAGGATTCTGGTACTCTTGACTCCCAGTCCAGTGCCCTTTACACTATTACCCTTGCACTTTAGTCCTGGATTTGAGAGCCAGGATGACTGCAGAGATAATCAGTTCCCATCCTGGGTGTGTTACATACTGATTTATTTACTAAAGCATCAGTTTTCTTGCATTGAGTCTGTACATATTTCAAACAGGTCTGACTTTGTGATGGAGTGGGTGGGGGGTTATGGTAGGATATGGATCAAAGTTTGTGGCAGCTGCTCAGCCTCTTGCATTGGGCTCCCTGGATTGTGTGCCCTGTTATTTTAAGTACTAAGATGATTTCATCATACCAAATCCATTTTATTTTACATTCTTTAGCCTTTAAAGCATGAGATGTGAAAAAATATGTTATGAAGCCCGTGTTCCCAGCATGTTGGTAAGGTCTGGCATGGGACTTACTCTCCAGTGTAGAAGTAGAGATAACACTATCCTACTTCCAGAGCCCTTAGCATTAAATGAGGCAATATATGTAGTGCTGTAGTCTCCAGTGTAAAAAATTTATAAGAGTGTCCTGTACTTGGTTTAGTAATCGCCACAAGGACAGTGTATGCTGATACTCCTGTCAGTAGAGAAAGATAAATTCATGCTATGTTTCTTGGACAGTGGGTTATAGTAACGGTCATAAATGTTTAAAGATGCTAGATTGCTATTCCCTGTTTCCAGAATGATCTAAGTAAGGCCTTTAAGTTTATGGCCTGATAGTTGTAGCATTTCTTGGTTTATATTTGTGATCTGAAGCTGTTGTGCTAGTGGCATAGTAGAGCCACACAAGTAAGCCACCTAGGCACTGATCCTGATTCCTCCCCAGCCTTCTCCCAGATGTCTTTCTTCATCCTCTGGCTGTACAACCCCAGAAGTCAGGCAGACCATGTCTGATGTTGGCTACCACAGTAAATGCTGCTTTGTGGAGACATAAGCACATACCTCTCAGAACCTGACTAGAGGACATGGCATTTCAGGCATTAGGAGGGAATAGGACTGAAACATTGATGGTATGTCTAGGAAGAATTTGAGCTGTCTTCATTGCCATCTCTTGGAGATACAGCACGATTCCGCTGTGTTCCTGTCAAGAGGTCTCAAATATTTCAAAAGAAGGTAAAGGTTGTAGATTAGATCCTAGTGGCAGAAACAGAAGAACATTTGTTTTGATGTATTTGTGACTTTGTGAAATGTATACTTTTTAAAATTCTTATTTATGAAATACATATGCCAGAGTAAGTGCCATTAAAACAAGCCAAGAAATGGATTTAAACTACTTACTAAAGATCGAACATAATTTTCAGTGTCTAGAGGTCAGTTTTTAAGACAGGTTTGATCTATTGGTGGATTGTGAAATAGATTTAGTGGGTTGTAACAGCTTAAGTGAGATAGAATGGAAAGGTAAGGAAATGTTAAGGGTAAGTCCGTGTGTGTTTGTAAACTCTGATTCTGCAGTCTCAGTCTGAAAAGCCATTGCTTAATTGATGACCAGAACCAGTCAGCCCTCTGGTTGTCTGGTTATGCTTTTTTAAACCCTCGTCCTCACCTCATCTGTAACTTGCTGCTTTCAGAAGTTGCACATGTGTGACTACCTCAGCATTCTGATGCCCTTGATCAGATTCATTGTAAGCTTCCACCAGACAGGCTTCTGGTGTTTATTACTTAGCTCATGTTGGAAATCTCTTTATGAAATCACATTCTTTTTATTCCTTTTCACTCCTAGTGCCTTCATGCAGATTTTCTGATTACACGTGCTTGAACTTTTCTCATTCCTTAAGTTTTATATATGTAATCAGTATTCATGTGATATTATGCTTAGCTCTTTAGAGGAAGGAGCTATGACTAAAAGAAATGGACAGCTCAGAATTTACTGGTCTATGACACAGAGTACGACTTCTTAGGAGAAATAAGAGGTTTCTGGAGGAAAAGTGGGTGTGTAAGGTTTAGAGAGTATGGTGTAAGTGTGGAGCTAGACTCTGGAGCTAGCCCTGCCCTCTTGGATTCAGGACTGTTTGGTGTGGGGTTGTACTTACCACCTTACATTTTGGGGTGGTGAATGACCACTTATGTCCCAGTCAGAGGACCTGAAGTTGGGTGGCTTACAAATGCCTCCAACTAGAGCTCCAGGGAATCTAGTACCCTACTTCTGTGGGCATTTATACACATACAGAAACACACTGATATTTTTAAGCCATTGTATTTTGTTAAGTATGTTTAGCTTTAGACTAGTGAGTGATCCTTGAAGGTGCACAAAAATCCAAAGTGATTCCTTCCACCAGCTTTCGCTCTTCCACCAGAAATAGATTCTGAAGATGGGACAAATAGGGATCTGATAATGTTTAATTTTTTTCTTTTAAAACAAGTCTGTAGTAAAAAGCATATTTGGACTGGTTTTTGTTTTATACTTTAAGAAACTTCAGTATATATATATAATTTGATTTGTATAAAGT